ATTTTCTATGAACAAGTTATTGGTTTTGCAACACTCTGTCATAGATCTCCAGTTTCATTTCTATCACCAAGTCCATATTTTCCTCTTGGTTTCCAACTTTTACATTCCAATCACCAATAGCTATCAATGAATCTTGATTGCATGTTTGATCAATTTTAGACTAAAGTCATTGGTGAAATTCTACAATTTCTTCATCATTAGCTTTTGTGGTTGTTGCATGAAGTTGAATAATAGTTGTATTGATCGGATTTTCTTGAAGGTGAATAGATATTATCCTATCACAAACAGCATTGTACTTCATGATGGATTTAGCAAGATCCTTTCTGACAATCAATGCCAGGCCACTCCTCTTTATTGTGTTATTTCTGGCTAGTAAATCATACGATTTTCTGATTTTAAATGGCAAATAGTAGTCTGTTTCAGCTCACTAATACCTAGTTCCATTTCATTTTTGACCACTTCCAATTTTTCTCAATTCATACTTTGCACATTCCAATTCCCAATCATTAGAAGATTTCCCATCTGTTTCTCTTGATCTTGAGTCATGGCCATCAGCAAAGGAAGACCCTGAAGACTCCCCTCCCACAGGCTTTACCCAACTCATGTCACCATGGTCGACTTCCCTCCAAGAAATCAGCTCCTCTTTAGTCCCCTTTCCATTGCCCTCGGACGCAAGGTGCCCATTCACTGGCAGTATCTATGACAATGGTCTGCTCTATTTCTTTAGGCTTTAGGATTTGACAATGCTTCAGAGTTATGCATAAGGCTTTCAGTGGCTTCTTTCTCCAAAGTGGAGAGCTGAGCCCTTCTTTGTTGTCTGTTCTTAGTCTGGAAGCTCCGCTGAAACCTGTTCACTTAGGGTGACCCTGCTGGCCTTTGAAATACCGGTGACATAGCTTCCAGCATCACAGCAACACACAAGCCACAACAGTATGGCAAATTGACAGAGAAGTGGTAGTTTTTAGCCCTAACTATATTTTATTGTCACCTCTAAACTTTTACAAAAATACAGATAAACAGATTTGTCTCAAAACTTGAGTTGGTCATCTAGCTGAGAAGCAACAAAGTCCACATGGAGGAAACACCAGCCTGTGTGATCATGAGGTGTCAATGGGATCAACTATCAGGCATCAAAGACCCAGAACAAAAAAATCATATCATTGTGAATGAGGGGGAGTGCAGAATGGAGACCCAAAGCCCATCTGTAGACAATTGGACATCCCCTTACAGAAGGGTCACAAGGAAGAGAGGAGCCAGTCAGGGTGCAGTATAGCACCAATGAAACATACAACTTTCCTCTAGTTCTTTAATGCTTCCTCCCCCTCAGTATCATGATCCCAATTCTACCTTACAAATCCAGCTAGACCAGAGGTTATACATTGGTACAGATGAGAGCTGGAACCACAGGGAATCCAGGACAGATAACCCCCTCGGGACCAATAATGAGAGTAGTGATACTAGGAGGGTAAGTGGAAGGTGGGGGGAGAAAAGGGGAACCAATCACAATGATCTACACATAACCCCCTCCCTGGGGGATGGACAACAGAAAAGTGGGTGAAGGGAGACAATTCAGTGTAAGACATGAAAAAATAAAAGCAATTTATAAATTATCAAGGGTTAATGAAGGAGGGAGGATGGGTGAGTGAGGGAGGGAAAAAAATGAGGAGCTGATACCAAGGGCTCAAGTAGAAAGAAAATGTTTTGAGAATGACGATGGCAACAAATGTACAAATGTGCTTGACACAATGGATGTATGCATGTATTGTGATAAGAGCTGTATGAGCCCCCAATAAAATGATTAACAAAATACAAAATTTAAGTGCATAGCTTTGGGGGGAAAAAAACGATTTGTTTTCTTTCTGGTAGGTCCCAACTCTGGGTGTATATATATATTTTAAAATCCTTTAGAGTAATTTGAAAGAACTTATAACCCCTGAAAAAGTCCATAGATTATGAAAGGAGACAAGACCCACTGTAGTCTGTCCTGTGCAACTCATGGTCACCCAGAACTTCAGACAAACAGGCTGTTTGCAAGTGTAGCATGATGAAGTCATGCTAGGCTACGATGACATCTAATCCAACACAGACACAGAAAAACAGGAGAACACCACGTGGTGACCAATGCAGACCAAGGATTGCAAGTAAACGCTAGGAGCAAGAGGAAGCAGGGCAGGAGGCATCTTTAAAGCACTCAGAAGAAGCTTAGATTTCAAACTTCTACCTTACAGGACTGTGAAAGAATACGTCCGTGGCACTTTGTTATAGCGTCCCTAACAAACAGAGAGACCTAATTTGGTGGTTATATGTGTTTGTAGAAGTCTAAGTTGGTGGTTAACAGACTTGATTAAACTCTCCTCAATCTATGCCACACTTTCCTCATGTATATTTGGGTTCCATCTGTAATTTAAAACAGAGCAGAAAGAGCGTGATGGTTGGATTCAGAAAAAATTTGACCTTAAATTTGGTATCTTTTAATAATGGTGTGACTTTGGGAAAAATGCTTATATGTATTGGATTTTAGTTTCCCCATTTGCCGAAGGAGAATAATAATAAGACCGTCTTTGGAGTGGAGATACTAGCCATTTGATATGAAAACACTTAGTATAGTACCCAGTGCTTAACACATTAGCTGTCTTGTCTGTATGTCCGGTTTGTCCTGACGTGTCATTTACCCGGCTTGTCTGTCCTGTCTCCATGTCATGATTGTCTGCCTTTAATTTTTTTGTATGTAAAATGAGAAGCTCAGAAAACATTTGAATTCCACCTAAAATTCAGTGAGTGTAATTGTCTGTTGAATAACCACCACATATCCTTTCCCACAAATTCTATTTATATGCAAAGAGGAAGCAATTGGCTCACCGTTGAGGAGATGAATTTCAGGTTTCTTTTCTTGCTGCATCCACATATCCTCACTTGGCTCTCCTTTCAACCAGACAGGGCTTTGAAATAGCTGGTCAGTTTGGGGGACATGATCTGGAGCTGTGCGAACAGGTTTGGTTTTGTTTTTAATTGGGTAATACCTTTTATTTCACGTGAATGTTAATCTCATGTCCTTGACTGCTGTTGCACTTGCTTCATGTACATGACTAATCTGAACTGCTTGATGTTTGTGATAATTGTGGTCAAACAAACTCTTGGCTGTTGAGTTGACTTCAACTCATAGGGACCCTACAGAAAAGGGTAGAACCACCCCACAGGGGTTTTTCTAGACTGCAAATCTTCACAGAAACAGCAGACTACAATTTCTTTTTCCTGTGGAGTGCTCGGTAGTTTACAACCAACCCTGGACCTTTATGGTTAGCAGCCAAACTCAATCACTGTACCCCCAGGGCTCCTAATAATAGTGGTTGCACTTGGCATTTACATCGTAGTGCCCATTTGAAGTGATGGACTTCAGAGCAGCCCAGGGGAAATGAGGATTAATTGTTACCTGGATAATTAGTTTGTGTGTGTGTGTGTGTATGAAGAAAATAAAATGTTGCTCTATGTTGAGCAACCCAAGAGCATCCTAATGAAATCCTATCCATCGTAGGTTGCTAAGATCATAGAACATTTTGTAATTCATGGCAATGACTCAGGAAGGTCCTGCCAGCCTTCACTGAGGCATTCCTTTGCCCAGCATTGGTTCCAGATAGGAAGCTCAGGCTGATATGGAGGCTTGAAGCTGTTGCAATTACTTAGTACAGGCACATCAAAGGAGAGAACTAGGATGTCCATTCACTGTCCAGATCCAAGGGAGCTGCTTGTGGACAGATAAATTGTCCATGGGGAAAAGCCACTTTGATGATGATAGTGTGATCTTCTGCTGGCTCCCAGCGCCTGGCAAAGTGTACCACGGGATGCCTTGCAGCTTCAAGGTGAAGAGCAACGAAAAATCATGATACGTTGGACTCAAATTTTGGCTTCATCACTAGAGTAAGGGTTGACAAAGTGTTCTGTAAAGAGCTGTGTTAGTGCGGGTTGACTAGAGAAACAAATCCAGAGACACTCATGTGTGTCTTTATATACAAGAGCAATTGAATATTGAGAAAACATCCCAGCCCGGTCCAGATCAAGTCCATAAGTCTGATATTAGCTCATATGTCCAATACCAATCTATAAAGTCCTCTTCAGACTCATGAAACACATGCAATGATGCTGAATGCAGGAAGATCATAGGTCAGTGGGTGGAAACTCTTGTGGATCCAGTGGTGGTAGAAGCATCTCAGCACTGGCGTGGGTCTCCATGTGGCTCCTCCAGCTCTAGGGCTCTAGTGTAGCTCCATGTGTCTTGTCATCAGGAATACGAAGCAGAGAGTCTGTGTGTCCCACCTCCAGCGACCTATTTATCTCTGTAGTACCTCCAAAGGAGGTCATCAAGCAGTGACCTGATTGACAGGCTATACTGCCCGCCTTCACTCTTAATAGTTTCAAGTTGGCACCAGATTATGTAACCACCACAAGGGCCAACTAGTATATATTTTAGGTGTTGAGGACCATATAGTTTCAGTCACAGTTACTCTCCTTGACCATTGTACTCCAAAGCAGCCCCAGTCAATGCATAAAGGAATCAATGTGGCTCTGTTCCAGTAAAACCTCACTTACCAAAACAGAGAGTGTTCAGCTTTTGGTCTGTAATTTGTGTTCAGTTTCATTCAGCTTATGGTCTATAATTTGAATATGTCTGATCTATAGAATCTTTCACTAGTATATTACTTTAATTCTCTAAGGTCATTTTGAGTATTACATGAAAACATTTATATAATAATACATGTACCAAACTCTTAGTGTATTAAGCACTCAAAAGTAGTAGTTGCTAGCATTTTATTTAAATGAATATATGTTATATAATCAAGACTTTTATTGTAAGATGATTCTAGATTTCAGAAATATTAAAGAGTGCTAAGGAGTCTCAGTATGGTTGAAATATGGTAAGACAATTAATGACAGTGGATATTTAAGAGTCTACAATGGTCATTTTAGGCTTCTTGTATAACATATCTCTGTGTTGTTCTTGCCAGAGACACGTGTCACGAACTCCTAGGTCATGTCCCATTACTTGCGGATCCAAAGTTTGCTCAGTTTTCACAAGAAATAGGCCTGGCATCTCTGGGAGCATCCGACGATGATGTTCAGAAATTAGCCACGGTGAGTCCTTCTAATTTCCAAGCTCAGGCATATTCTGTTGTGTGAATTTGCAAGAAGGCCTCCGAGTTATTGACTATGAATCATAATTTGGAGAGAGGCTGGTAATTTTATTCCTTTGTTTGTTGTGCTGTTTTCAAAGCACAGTGTGTTCTTGGCTTGCTAACCACCCACATATTTATGTTGTATCTTTCTAGTTGCTGGGGCTAGCCAGATGTAAGGGGCTAGTTAGGAAATATTTCCAGCTTGCTGGTCATAGGTCTGTGATGCCACTGCTTCCCAGCTTTCTTCGCTCCTGTAAGGCGAAAGCAGCCACAGAGAGAGCATACATGAAGGGAAGCAGCCACAGAGGGTGCATACATGAACGGAAGCAGCCACAGAGGGCGCATACATGAACGGAAGCAGCCACAGAGGGTGCATACATGAATTGGATGGTGACTGCTTCCCAACACCATGTTACTTACAAAAACTGGTGGTGGATCAGCTTTGGCTGCGGTGTGCTGACTCACATTACTAATTCAGTGTTTATTTTCTAGAAATATTAGTAATATAAAAATCTTTCGATACATGCGAAATTAGGTGCTGTGCTTGGGGAGCTCTCTTTGCCTGGTTAATGGTTGCGTTCTGACATGCTTTGAGTCATCACTAAGAAACTCAGGTTAAGCAATGATTATAAGCACAAAACCAGAAAAAGATACAGTCGATGCCATGGTGACAGTGAGGTTCTTCCCAGAACAAGAAACCTGAGAGGGAAACAGTGTACTACTGGCTGCCACCTTTAGTTCTGAGGATCCAGATTTATCTTCGTCTCATTTCAAAGAGCTCCGTGTAGGAAATGCAGGCTTTGCAAATTCACATACCTGCTGGGACCAGTCAGCTACCCAAATGAGCAAAGCCACCAGGGGAAGAAAAATGGGACCTGAAATTGTATCTATTTGACACAGATACATATTATTGGCCTACTAGACATGTAGGAATATTCTTTGCTTACACCAAGAAATACATTTCTCTCAGATTTCTTAAAACACACAGCCCTTCAGTGTATCTTTTCTTTCCTACTTTGGTTAGAAATATTGGCCTTGAAAAGTATTTCTCTGCTCAAGGAAAACCACAGTGCAAGAACCCTCTGCGGTCCCTGACCCTTGGGGTCAGTGTGGGGTTTAGCAGGTTTCTGGGGACTGAGAGAGAACGTGCCTTCTCTGTGACTGAAGCCTGGTTCTCCGACTCTGCTGGTAGTTGTCAGGTGAAAATGCAGGGACTTATGTTGCAAAATCTTCTAAATATCATAGAGATGTGGACAAATGTCAGGTAAACCGCTCACCACAAGGTTGGCAGTTCAAACTCAGCAGCTGCTCCATAGGAGAAAGACGAGGCTTCCTGTTCCCATAAAGATTTACAGCCTTGGAAATCACAATAGGGCACACTATGAGCCAGAATGGACTTGGTGGTGGTGGGTACATGTAATGATGCTAAAATTTTGGCTCATGAAGAATTAAAATAAAAAGAGAACCAGCTACCACTATTATGAACCAAGAAAACAATATGCTTATAGGTTGAATCTTATGCTTGACTTCCAATCTACAACCTTTGCCTGAGGGTTTTCATCTCTTGTGTACTAATTATCTATTGTTGGGTAGATAACAAATTGCCTGAAAAGGTAGTGTCTACAAATAGCAAAACCATTATGCCCTCATGGATTCTGTGGACAGGGAATTTAGGCCAGTTTAGTTGAGTAGTTCAGGCTCAGGGACTAGTAATGTGGAAAGTGAGCCTGCAGTTGTCAGAGGTTAGGGGTTCAACTCCCAAGAAGGCTTACTCCTGTGGCGCTGGGCAGGAGGTGTTAGTTCCTGGTCAGAAGGCCTCTCAGGGCAGTGGGAGTCCCTTACTTCATGGCCACAAACAGTGATTTCCTCAGAGCAAGTGAGCTGAGGCAGGCTGGAAGGATGGGAGGGTGGGAAGGAGAGGAAGGGAGAGAGGGCAGGACAGAGGAGAGAGAGAGAAGAGAGACAGAGAGAGAGAGAGACAGAGAGAGATCGTCCTTTGTGAACTGAACTGTCCACTTTGTCCATACTCATTAGACACTAACCTCTAAATCCAGCCCATGTTCAAGGGCAAGGAAATTTGGCCCTGCCTTTTGGAGAAATGAGTGTCAAAGAGCGTGGACAGACATTAAAGCTACCACAGCATGCGTCCTGTTACTTAGTTCTCAAGCCTTGGCTCTGGCTTTCAACTCCAGGTTTTAGACCCTCTTTCTACCTTTGGATTTTCCCTGAACATTTTCTGGGTTCCATTTTTGACCTCCTACAGCTTCTATTCTTGATCATGGATGAATGTGGTTCGTTCTTGTCTGACTCTGAACAGACTCAAACTAGCACTCCACTCTACCAAGTTCTGCGGGAAACCATTGTGTGTGTGTGTGTGTGTTCAAAGAGAAAGAATAAAGTCAGGGTTTATGGATATGGATTATATGAAACCTAGTGAATGCTCTTGTTTCTTTCTTAAAAACAGTGAGAAGAAAGCAGTTTTATCACCCTTACTTTTCCTTCTACCCCATGATTCAGGAGCTCTGGTGGCACATTGAGTCACGAGTTGGGTTGCTAAGCACAAGATTGGCATTTCAAAGTCAACAAGGACTCCATGGGAGGAAGGTTCACCTTCCTGATCTTGTCAAGATTTATAGCCTTGAAACTCAGAGGGATAGTTCTCCCCTGTCCTATAAGATCTCTTTTGGTTTTGAATGATCATATGGTTGATTAAAAAAAATAAAGAATATGAATAAAATTAAATAGAATATGAATAATATTAGAATAGAAAATAAAAATATGAATAACTTTTTTAATAGAAAATGAAATAGAATATGAATATTAGAATAGAAAATAAAAATATGAATAAAACTTTTAATAGAATTAAAAATAAAGAATAAAGAATAGCCCTTACCTTTCAGAAATCTATAGCCAGTGTAGATAGAAGTAAGATCTTCTGGGAGTAAAAGTTTATGCAGACTTTTGAAAGATGAGAAAAATGAAGTTAGGTGGAGAAGAGGTAAAGTTTCTGTCAGAATTTTAAAAATCTCTTTGGTTTAGGAGGTCAGTAGGGAATGCCTATTTCCTGCTTTGAGGGCCACGACTAAGCCCAGTATTTCCCTTTGTGGTCGCTCTCTCTTTTTCACTATAACAAGTTACAGAAAACCTACTGGCTGCAAACAATACAGTGCTCTTGATTTCTACCACATCAAAACAGCGGTTTTGGAATTCTCACAGGACTCAAATCATGTTCCTTTTCAATGTTCTTTAAACTTGGGGAACACAAAGAAGCCTGTATTCTCTGACAGCTGGTCAGTCTGGACTTCGACATGAGGCCTTGTGGTTTGTGCTCTGTTCTGGAAGTTCTAGGGCAGAATCTGTCTCCTGTCCTTTTCTGGATTCTAGAGGCCACCTGCATTCTACGGCTTGTGGTCCCATTCTCAGTGTGATTGTTCTTCTGCTGCCGCATAGTCCTCTCACTACTAGAGCTAGAAAAGTCCTTTTGCTTTGAAGGACTCGTGGATTCAGTTCTGAAATCCAGCAATATCTCTGCATCTCAAGCTCTGTATACACGAACACATCTCCAAGAGGGAAGAGATTCGCAGGCTCTGAGCAGGGGGTTAGAGCGTGGGTGTCCTTGAGGGGCTACCACCTTTGTTTCTATCTCACACAAGGAAGAAGGATGCTAACTCTTGTATCTTGGAAAACAATTTTTTGTTGGCCCAGTGGATTTGCAGTATGAGTACGTTTTCTTTTGGAGTTTACATTATGCAGCAGGATGTCGATGCCCTTGGCCTTGGGTTGCACTAGCTCCAACAGCTGAAAACACTTCCATCTGCTAGAGATCCCTAGGTCACCAGTCCTGTTTCTCTCTCTGTCTCTTAATTGTGCTTCCTGTGAATGCACCAGCTTTTCTGTGAGAACCAAGTCAAGTCAACATTTAAGTGGCTAAAGAGTCCTAAGTACTGTGAGATAAGGTTAGGGAAAAGGTAACGCTTGCTTTAAAGTGCTCACAACTGAGTGCAGGGAACACCAGAAAACTCAGGCTTAACGGCAACTTTTAGTCATATATGAGGGTAAGTTTAAAAAAAAGCGCTATAAAATCCTATAAACTTTTTTAAACATCAAAATGTGAATCTATTGTTCTCAGTTTATCCTCCCCCTATGACTACACACGTTTGAAAGCATTGCTTCTATCTCTCCAACCCGTCCTAAAGAATTCTGCGCTCTTTGATTTACACCACATCAAAACAACTCTTTTGTAATTCTCAAAGGACTCAAATCACGTTCCTTTAAATGTTCTGAAAATTTGGGGAACAAAAAGAAGGCTGAAGTGGCAAAACTAGGGCTATAAGAAGCTAGAAACCTAATTTAAGGAACCATTTGAAATGACATGAGATTTCCCATAAAAATTCTCATAGGACAATCGAATGAGCAGATGCCTTTTCATATTGGCAAAAAAATTCCTCAGGGTAGCTTTCCTTTCCTTTTCCTCATTGATGCAGTTTTCCGTCTTTCTTTTTGAAACATCTTAATAAGCTCTGCTGATCACTCTGTCATTTGGAAAAAATCTATCAAGATGACCGCTTTGGGATCTCCCCAGTTTCCAGAACCTTTGAGCTGACTGCTCTGCCTTGAGTATTTTTTTTAAAAAAATCATACAGAGGAGGGCACCTCCAAAAAACCCCAATGGTGCTGGGCAGAGCGGAGCTTTTGTAGTATGCATTATTCCCACTAGGCGAGCATCAAGCAACTCACTGAGTTAGTGTACCCAGTGGTGTCGCTTAGGAAGTTTCTCTCTGATCACAGTGAATACTTTCACAACAGCAATTTCACTCAGACCTTTTTTTTTTGTGATGGCCGGTTTAAGAGAACAGTGTGCAGTTGTGAAATTTTGTTTCCTGCTGGGGAAAAATGCCACAGAAACTGTTGCAATTTTGAATAGAGCTCACAAGGAGTCCTATGGGAAAAATTCAAGTG